TTGGTCATTTTATGGCTAATTATTGGAGTTTTGTGTCAATTTACTAATTTTTTTAATCTGTTGTTCCACATTTTGGTCTTTTTATGGCTAATTATTGGAGTTTTGTGTCAATTTACTAAATTTTCAGATCTTTTTCTCCATGTTTTGGTCATTTTATGGCTAATTATTGGAGTTTTGTGCGTCAATTTACACATTTTTTTAATCTGTTCCACATTTTGGTCATTTTATGGCTAATTATTGGAGTTTTTAGTCCACTTTTGGATAGTTTCTGGTCTTTTGCTGTACCTTTCTCAGATTTGTGTCTTCCTTTGTCATTTCCTGATCAGTTTGTCCCGTTTTACTCCTCATTTTGTGTCCATTCTTGCAGTTTAGTGTCTGTTTTTTGTCCTTTGCTCCATGTTTTGGTCATTTTACTCAGGTTCTTTCCGTCTTTCCGTTTTTTTTTTTTTTTTTTTTTTAAAAGGCCTTTTTTTTTGTTTTTTTTCTTTTTTTTTTTTTTTTTTTCTCTTTTTTTCTCCTTTTTTTTTTTTTTTTTTTTTTTTTTCTGAAACAGGCCTGATGCTGCGTTAATCTTCTTTGTATTTGGTGTGTTTTGCCTCTAGACCTCCCGTCTTCAATCACTGAGCTGAGCCTGGACTACAACAAGATCTCAAAGGTGGAAGTGGAAGACTTCATCAGATACAAAAACCTGCAGCGGTGAAAACCAGAACTGTTCCAAATATCTTTTATTTTCCTGCTTCAGCACTTAAAGGCTTGACGTCTCTAATATTGGTCAGAAACTTTGGTGAGATATTTGATCTGAAAGCAACTGCTGAGCTCCAAACTGGGCTGTTTCCCCTCAACTCCAGACTCAGACTGAAGCTAACTGTTAGCATCCATCTAGCCGCTGTCACTGAGTCCCAGAAACCTCCCAGAGTTTCCACTGTGTGTCAAAACCTGAATGAAACCATTAATATGCATGTAAAATATCCAAAACTTGGTACCAAAAGGACAAAAAAAAGCTGTTAAGTTTAATACTGGAGTTATTCTGATTGTTTCCAGACTGTTTAAACCTGTTGCTCTCAGCCTGAAGCTAACTCTGTTAGCATCCATCCAGCTGAACCTCCCAGAGTTCCCACAGTGGGTCAAAACCTGAATGAAACCATTAACGTAAATGTAAAACCATCTAAAATTAGGTACTAAAAGGACAAAAAAAAAGGCCAAAAGACCACAAAAGGAGCTCAAAAGGCCAAAACAGGTCTGGAAAGACCCACAAATTGAGCTAAAAACACCAAGAACAGCATGTAAATCTCCCTCAGAACCTGAATGAAACCATGAATATACAAGTAAATTACATAAAACTAGATACTAAGAGGACAAAAAAAAGCTGTTAAGTTCAATACTGGAGTTATTCTGAGTGTTTCAGACTCAGTCTGAACCTGCTGCTCTCAGCCTGAAGCTAACTCTGTTAACATCCATCCAATCTAAAGATCTAAGACCCAGAGATCTAAAACTAGATACTAAGAGGACAAAAAAGGACAAAGGACCACAAAAAGGGCCAAAAACTGCTGAAAACACCCAACAAATTGAGCTAAAAAAAACAAAAACAGCATTATTCTGAGTGTTTCCAGACTCTGTTTAACTCTGCTTCTCTCAGCCTGAAGCTAACTCTGTTAGCATCCATCCAGCTGAAGCCTCACAGAATTCCCACAGTGGGTCAGAACCTGAATGGAACCAGGAACCAACAAGTAAAAGATCTAAAACTACGTACTAAGAGGACAAAAAAGAAGATAGAACCACAAAAAGGGCCAAAAAATAGAGCTGAAAAGGCCAAAAAACGCATTATTCTGCTGCTCTCAGCCTGAAGCTAACTCTGTTAGCATCCATCCAATCTAAAGACCTAAGATCCACAGATTTAAAACTAGATACTAAGAGGACAAAATAAGGCCAAAGGACCACAAAAGGAGCTCAGAAGGCCAAAAAAAGGTCTGGAAAGACCACTTATAGAAACCCGTTAACACCTGGGCTTCAACACAACCTCTGACCTCTGACCTCTGACCCTTTTCAGGTTGGGACTGGCCTTTAACCAGATCCGTTCTGTGGAGAACGGCAGTTTTTCCAGCATCCCGAACATCCGCGAGATCCACCTGAACCACAACCGTCTGAAGAGGGTCCCGCCGGGCCTCAGCGCCCTGCGCTACCTCCAGGTGAACCCCAGAGAAATTAAGGAGGAATTAACACAATAAAAACAGCTATCCTGAATAAAAGCCCTGGTTTTAAGCCCTCTGCCGCCCCCTGGTGGTGAGAGGAGGTAATCTGTCATAACTAACCAAGGCTAGTTTATTTTACAGCACATTATTATCATTAAATATAATATATATATATATATCAAATTAATTATATGAATTATCTATAATATAATTGATTATAATATAATAACATTTCCTGTATAAGACAAGTCAAAGTGCTTTGCAAAGAATTTAAAAGCAGAAAAACCAAGAAAGAAAATGGATCAACAAAAGAATTAGATGGATAAAAAGTGAAGATTTAGATAAAATACATTCAAAGCAACGAACGGCCACTCAAACACCCCTTACTTTGCACTCCCGCTCTCATTTAGACAATAAAACGAGAAATTAACACAAATAAAAACAGCTATTCTAATTAAAAGTCCCTGTTTGAAGCCCTCTGCCGCCCCCTGGTGGTGGGAGGAGGTAATGTGTCATAACCAAGCAAGGCAAGTTTATTTTGCAGCACATTATTATTATTATTATTATTATAATTATTATTATTATTATTATTATTATTATTATTAAATACTATATATATATCATTATCTATATGTAGTATAATATCATTAATTATAATATAATATAATAATATAATCATAATATATAATAAAAATACATTTCCTTTATAAGACAATTTCGAAGTGCTTTACAAAGAATTTAAAAGCAGAAAAACAAAGATAGAAAATTAATTTTTTTTTAAATAGATAAAAGTGAAGATCCAAATAAAATCCATCCAGTTTTTGTGTCAATTTACTTCATTTTCTGGTCTTTTGCTGCACTTTTTGGTTATTTTATGGCTAATCATTTAAGTTTGGTGTATGATTTTAGTCTTTTTTCGATGTTTTGGTCACTTTGTGGCTAATTATTGGAGCTTTGTGTCCGTTTTTGGCCTTTTGCTCTATGTTTTGGTCATTTTATGGCTAATTATTGGAGTTTGGCGTCTGTTTTTGGTCTTCTGCTCCAAACTTTTGCTCATTTTATGACTAATAATGGCAGTTTTGTGTCAATTTACCTAATTTTCTGGTCTTTTAATCCACTTTTGGGTCATTTTATGGCTAATTATTCGAGTTTTGTGTCGATTTACTTAATTTTCTTATCTTTTGCTCCATGTCACTTGAGTTTTTAGCCCATTTTTCATCTCCTTAGGTGATTTTCCTCCATGGGAACAAAATCGGTAACGTGGGAGTGAACGACTTCTGTCCGGCCGTGGCCAGCGTGAAGAAGAACCTGTACACGGGCATTAGCCTGTTCGCTAACCCCGTTAAATACTGGAACATCCAGCCGGTGGCCTTCCGCTGCGTTAGCGGCCGGAGGGGCATCCAGCTGGGCAACTTCAGGAGGAAGTAGCCCCTAACCGACCTGGAGAAGAGCTGGACACACTTCTGACATGTAAAGCCATATTCTTGAAGGGACAGCTGTGCATTAAAGGGACATTGTGTAGTATTTTAAGTTTTTTATTAGCTAAAATCATCTTCTTCTTCTCCATGTATAAACGTGTCCTCATTTGCTGTAAAATGATTTGACTTATCCTCATACGGAAGAATTTCCTATCTGTATAAACACAGGACGGGTAAGTCCACGGAGGTTTCCATGGCGATCCGCCATTTTGAAAAGCTATAATGGCAGAGAGGGACATAAAGCACTAGTCTGCCTGTCTAGCTAATCCACAACGCGTTTTCCTTCAGAGTCACATGACTGAACCAGCTGTAATCCGAGAGAGGAGCTCGTCCCCTCCATGCTAGTCGCTGTATCTATGCTAATTAGCACAGTTTATGCTAATATACAACTACTAATTAGCATAATTTATGCTAATATATCACTACTAATTAGCACAGTTCAGCTTTTCAGTCTGTGACTTAAACTGTAACATTCGTTTGTTCGTTGTGTGTCGAGCTGTTAGCTAACGCTAGCTATGACAAAGGCTAGTAACGAGCTACAGCAAGCTACAAACAAAAAAACAAGCTAACATGGCAACATGATTCTCTGTCTTGTTGGAGGAGGATTTACATGCTCACACTAATGATTCAATGTAGTTTGTCATTTATTTTAAATCCCAAACCTCATCACCAGAGAAAACTCCATGATGTGGAAGTCATGCTGTCTTTACTTCCTGAT